ACACAAACTGGATTTAATAGAACAACCATACCTTGACAAAATACATTCTCGCTAAGGACAAAGGTAAACGTGCTATAAACACGTGTGGGAGTCTTGTGTCTAGGTGACGAAATTTCCATCCAAAGTAGTCCTTGAGTTTTCTTTCCTGCTTTTCGTTTGCTGGCTCCTCCACTTCGTATCTAGCTTTCCATTCCTAATATACAAGCAGCCCGTCTGCAAAGAAGTCTTCCCCGTCGTCGCTTGAAATATTGTAAATTGTTCTCAAAGCTCTAAGCAGTGAGTTCACAGTTATCGAACATGCTCGATCGAAGTTTATTTCGGTGTCTTCTGAATCGAAACCTAACTCTGACTCCAGTGACGAAAAAGAAATGATTCTGAAACAAAACTTGGACGTTTTAGTCTTAAAATATATTGGAACGATTAGTTTTGTTTTCCATTTTCTTGAGCAAATACAGAGAGCTGACTGAGGCGCCATTGTGTTTGGTTCCTGGGTAGACGTCATCAGCAACCACCGCCCCAGACTCCCTGAAACGCGGTCGTGTAACACTTCAGGCGTGACTTTGATAGGGCTTAGAAAATCGAGGATTCAACCAAATTCAAAAATGTTTTCGCCCAAATGCTCCGAATAACAATTGGATTCGTTTTAGCGATAAACAATTTTTGGGGTTAGGTGCACTTTAAATTTAGCTACAAAAGTGCCTACAATTGAAATATTCCCAAAAGAAAATCCTAATCTCGCTTCGGTTACCAGAACTATTGCTGGTGCGGCAAATATGAAAAATGCTCTAAACATCTGGGCTGGGTTGTTCGAAAGCCGGTTAACGCTAACCCAGGATTAAAAGTTAACCGAAGTATTAATTTTTCTTGTGTAAAAATGTTCGTTACTGCTCGCCTTTTGTATAGTTTGAGCTTAGTCAAGCTCAAAACTGAAAGACAAACATTATAAGCAGAAAACCTCACCGAAAAATTACAAAACTGAAATCAAAGTTCTTGCTAATCCTGGGTTAGTTTAATCGGGCTTTGAATAACCCAGCCCTGTACATTGTGCCAAGTCTTGCGTCATAGTAATGGCTACCCTGAGTGTGATGAATTATTTTCTTTGTTTCATATTTTTGTTGTTTGGAGAAAATTTTGTCTATTCAAATCGCACAGGATCCGCAAAAAATAAAAACAATGCGTCAAAAATTTATTAAGGTTCAAGACTAAAGTAAAGAAAATT